GCAATACATGTTTTCCATGCGGGCAAGTTGTTAATTACAACCAGTTAGTCAAAGATATATGATATAATCGTACAATGGCCTCTGCTTTTGTAGAGGTTCCTAATGAATATGGATTACTGTCGCTTCTATTTAGAGAATTTTAATGTTAGATATTGTACCTCAAACCACATACCTGCTTGATCTGTCTGATCTCCTCCCGAACAAACGTGAACCACCATACGGCCAATATGCCTTCACAAACTGAAAAGTCTTTTTTCATTTCAAAAAGTAAGGTGTAGCCGAAGATACTCAGGAACAAAATGTAGAACAGCTGTGGTGAGAGAAACGAGCCTGTATTCATTTACGTGTTCATCCATCTTATTATGGAACACTATAATATAAGAGCTCGAATAATATTAATAATGTTTATCTGCGGTTGGGCGGCACAGTGGTTTACCTGTTGGCTCGTCACGCCGAATGTCCGGTTTATTTCCGTTTTTTTCATGTCTTAAAATGGAATTTCCATTAAAAGCTGCGTAAGATTCAGTCCGCCCACACATTCAATCACTTATAATTATTTATACGTTACCAGGTTCAAAACGTATGTTGTTACTGGAGCTATCGCAAGTCGTCCTAAGTGAGCACAGAGAGTTTCCCTGAAACGATACAGAATACTAGTAGGTTGAAAAATGTACTCAATGCATTGGAAAGGAATAATTTTCATGTTTTCGCAAATGAATTATTGTATTGTGATGTTTGGTTATTGCTCATGTCCAAGTTCAAATACAATGCAAAAGAATAGAATTACTCACTCTTTGATATTCAGCTTTGTAGGTGTTTTGTAAGTATCCTGAAAACACATAAACGTGTTTTCTCATTTCACAAGTATGTATTGATAACCAATGCTGCTATTTCAATGTATCTCTTACACATGTACAGTGATATCTAATATATTACCTACCATCTACTATAATGCATAGTATATATAAATAACCATTCATAAAAAAACTATCAATGCAGAATAGTGAAAGGTATATTTCATGATCGAATACTAGTGGTTTTAAACTATTATGTCATATTATGACCTGAAACATGCATGGAATTGTTTTAATGGACTTCATGACATTCCCGCGTGGTTTCACGATGTTCAAAGGGATGTCAGGGATCTTTATTGGTTGTAAGACTTTCCGGTCTTGTCTGATGACGTGTTATCGTACCTCGACGATGTGGATCTTTACTCATAACATCAGTCAACGGAAGCTCTACTCTAGCTTCAATCAGGAACATGCCGTCGTCATAAAATTCATAGGCTGTGGGGTAGTGTGGAGGTTAAAGCGTTCGTTCGACCCGACTTCGATTCCTCACATGGGTAAAATGTGTAAAACCCATTTTCTGGTGCCACCTGCCGTGATATTCCTGGAATATTGCTAAATGCGGCGTAAAACTAAATTCACTCACTCACCCACTCACTCATAGATTTCTGACGATGCTTTATTTCTGATAAGTATCCTTATACAACCCTCAAATACTCTACAAAAGTAAATTTCTCCTGACGTGACGCATAGTCGCACTCACCTGTATGGGTGGGTCAACCTTTCCCCACCACACACGTTCAGTGTACTCCTTGTAACCATCTTCGCTGAAAAGTCTCCGGTTGTCAGTAGCCAAAGAGCATCTAAGCATATCTTCCTGCCATATGTTGCCTGCTAGCTGAGTCTGTATCAGATCCATAGTGCGTTCTTTGTCGCTGTTATAACATTGGTTTATGAGGCCCTTGGCTCTGTTCTGAAACAATCTAAACACATCAAATATTACTGGAACATATGGTGTTCCTTGATTCCAGTCACAAATACAACAAATATATAAGTGGTTGCCGCAATGTGAAGGCTATGACACGGCAAAGAAAAGGATCAGCGACGATGGACAAGGTAATGTACATTTCCGCCACCCCGCCAGCAAACACACACACGCACGCACGCACACATGCACGCACGCACACACACACACACACACACCCACCCACCCACCAGTATCTTGGCAAATAGAAACATGTTCGTACATGCTTATTGTTAATCTGTACAATTTACGTTTAACCCCAAAGTTTATACGATAAACCATTTCTGTAAAACTAATCGAATGCAACCTTTAAAATTGTGTACTACTTTCATGTAGTACTTTTCACTTTCAATGTATCCTATTTGAAACAACACTTGCACAATGCCGATAATGTTAATTTACAACAAATAACGCTTGTATATGTTTTCCCTGCAGTAATCCTATACATTCCATTCAAATATCGATCCTTCTGTCAATTTCTACAAAAATCATGAAGACTGTTTTTCGTCAATATTTTTTTTGCGCTCCGACACTTCAACAGCAAAGAGGTTCGTTGACGAAGATAAAAAGTAGGTCTAATGAACATTGACATGTACATCAGTTAGTAGATCATCTGATGGTCTAACAAATTGTTGATAATCGAATTTCTTCCTCTCAAACACATTACTTTTCAGTCTAACGGGACGGTCTCCTTGTCAAGCGTGTTTATACAACAAAACAACAAAGAAACAAATAGATAATAAAACCAAATACTCCTTGAAATTAAAAAAACCCAATAAAATGCCGAACTTACATTGCCTGTGCTTCTAGAGTTTTCTTACGGCCAATGTTTTCTTCATCTTCCATCCTGGACCTGAGGACTGATGCCGCCAGCAAGGACGATGTTAGCAGGTGCTGAAGGAATGTGCAAGTAATGGCGCCATTATTTCTTGTCAAAATATACTTATGTGTAATGTAGCCTACTACTATATCAGTTAATGTCCGTTTTCTTTCTGGCAACCAACTCCAACATCGACATGCAGTCGGTTTAGAATTTAGTTTACATGAACACTCCCTGCTTATGATCTTTTTCAGGATTAAGTCAGTTAACACCTTTGCCTCTAGCAATCATCCAAGGAATTCGGTCATTTTAATGGCCTCTTACGACAAGCACGGGTTGCTGGAAGCATACATGAGTTGTATATTCCTAACTTCAGCTGCCGTGTATGGTAGGACGGAAATAATGTTCCAAGGAGTGTCAAACCCATGTCATCCAATCACTGCCTCCCTCGTGTATGCATATTATCTTACGGTCCCTTTCTTCCAGAACAGTGCAGCACATTTCAGTCGATCTGTCCCCACGGCCCATATCATTAAACGTCGGAATACGTCCTCCTTGGGTCCAAAACACGCAGCAGTGGAGAGGCGGAACAGCTTGTATGTGGTTTCCTGTACAGTAACAATACCGGATTACTCATGTTTTCCACACCGTTATTGTCTATAATGAACTGCACACTCTCAGCCTTGTCCATCAGCATGGCGTGAAGAAGGAACATGCCTATTGTGTCTTAAAACCAAAAAAGATGACTGTCCTTACTGTCCACGTTGCAATTGGGAGGTTTAGTCGAGAATAGGCCAAATTATTCATCGGGGATTTACAAAACACTCCTTGAGATCAGGTGTAAGTTTTACGCGTGTGCCCTGTGTGGTTGAGTTCAACCTTTTAAATGTACCGTTATGTAAACATTAATAAAGCAAAAAGGGTAACGTGTTTGAAAGAGTTGTATTACTTGTATTGCTCAGCAGTATTCCAGCTATATGGCGGCGGCTTGTAAATAAATCTTTGAAGGGCATTTAGAAAATAGTAAATAGTCGTGTCGGGACCAGACAATCCAGTGATCAACTACATGAGCATCGATCTACACAATTGGGATACGATGACATGTGTCAACTACTAGTAAGTCAGCGAGCCTGACCACCCAATCCCGTTAGTCGCCTTTTACAAGCATGGGTTGCTGAAGGCACATTCTAACCCGGATGTTCACGGGTCCACAGTGTTGTCGTGTCTAACTCCACTCCACGCTTTACCTCTGAGATGGTTCCGTTGTGTCCCATTGATTTTGAAAGTTTGCGCAAGAGCCCCTTCCCCGTCAAACAGCCTCGCCGGCATATAGTAGTCCAGGATGTGTAGCACTTCGGGGTCGGATTTACCTAAAGTAAGACAGCACTAAATCTTTGGACTCTCACGTCATTGAAACAGCCTTAAGAGTTGGAACAATTATGTTGTATACTTCAATTCATGTTCAGAATCAGAAATTTCAAGGCATTCAGATCTGAACGAGTTGCAACAATATTTCTCTGCACTTGGTGTTATGCCCAGACACTGACTTATCAGTGTAAGGTTTTCAGATACCATGTCACGTTACGGTAGCATTACCTTTATAGCGTTACGTGAAGAATGTGTTACCTTGTGTTGCAGGTCAAGAACATTGAGATGTGAACAGTATTTCAGCCATATAGAGGCGTGTTAGCTTGTGTGAGGTAAGCCCTTAGATAGGCTTGAACGTGAATTACAATTAGCATAACTGTGCCACATATACGGCTTTTAAGTATTCATGATTCGTTTGTAGATGTTTCAACAGTTGGCAGGATACACCTATGTGAAAGGCACGGGAAGGACCGTGTACATTAGATATTGAGTGCGTTCTCATATCAGAGCATATATTTACTTTTTAGCAGTGCCTGTATGACCGCATTAACCAGCGTGGTTTCCTTGTCGTCAATGCGGACAACCGTGATCAGCTCTCTTTTCTGTAGACACTGTAGGGTTTTGTACTCGCCAAATTCCTTTCTTCCTTTACTCCCAAGTTTGTTAAACTCCTTCTTCACTTTGCGACGTAAACCTTCATCAATCACTGTGCCCGTCCTATATATCATAGAGTAAATGGAAATTGGAAATTGGAGGCACATTCTGCCATTATCTTGCTCATATTTACGCTCTAATACGCTTATGGTATTTTTGGAATCGTTCAGTGGATGAGATTCATTTGATAAAAAATATTATTATACTCATACGTATGACATAGAAACTATGTGAAACGGGTGTGCAGCATGTATGTACATGGTTGTAGTTACGTGTAAGGGTATTACATCATTTGGGTATTTAAAGCAGGAGATGACTCCGTGTACAACTCACCATTCTTTGTCTCTGCTGCGGGAAGATCTTGTCCTGTTTTCCTCGGAGTACTCATACACATTGGCCAGTACATCAGCAAAACCACCTGTCCCCTGATAAAACTCATTCCACTTAGCCACATTAGTAAATAAAGAACGCCGGAAACATTCGAACTGTCGTGGTACTGGGTAAATTACAAGTAGATTCAGAAGACAAAAGTTTCTTAACACGTTAACAGACAAATGGCTTCTTGCTTATTACGAGCAGAAAGTGACCACTTTAATCATGTTATCGTCATGTAAAAACATGTAATTCCATCTGAGGCGCGTTATCAATAATCTTACACAGTTAAAGTAATATTTTATACCAGATTTATTTTACCTGCAATACAACTACAGGTACATTGTTTTCTATTGCCGATTGGACTCCATCGAGAACATAAACCCATCCACAGTACAGCAGAGCCACCAGTGGAGTAGAGGATGTTCCTTAATAAATCAGTTTTCCATATTTACAGTTTGTGTAATACATTATACTGCATGAAGACTTTAAAGGAATGCAATAAAATTTTGTTTGTTTCAATGAAACGTTTATTATTTCAAGGGGGAAATCATTTCATGTATTTTTGGTTCGGTCATTGAATGGCATTTACAAGTGATACACATAAAAGGTGAAACTGTATGGCTGTCAACTTCTGTCACGTGAGGGACACGACGTTTCCGACATTACTCCGAAAAGGTCGCGTCCCTCATGTTACAGAAGTTGACATCCATGCATTTTCACCTCTGTTGTCTGGTTCTTTTTTAGCATTTAGACACACTGACTTTATTTGTAATAGGTCGCCATTTGTTTGTAATTACCTTCTGAATGTTTCGTCATTGCTGTTTCTAATGTCACCCTAAACTCTTGGAACGATTTGGATGCATGTGCCGAATTTAAAGATCCATCGTCCACTAGGAGGTGATGCTTGTACAGAGCACTGGGTCTATTTCCTGCTTTCGACCCTGGATTCTCTGGTAACTCAGGCTACAGAAAAAATAAAATAAAAGAGAAACATAAACAACCAACAACCAACTATTTGTCAAAAAACGTCCTAATTCAATCACTATTTAATTTGACACAAGACAGATCTTGTGTGGAGGGTCCGAGGCAGATATTTCCTATGTCTGTTTGGATCCGGTCACGAGAATACCAACACAGAGAAAAGTTGGCTGCAATTTGTTCTTTGTCTACTTACTTGTCAATGTTCCCTGACAGGTCGTTTGTAAAGAAGGTGTGCTATTTCTGATTTGGTTTCATCCATTAATACATACTTCTCAGCGTTTGATGAGGATCAAGTTGTAATGTTAGGGAAATACATTAAAACCAATAATAATTGAAATATCACGATACACAGTTATTGAAGAATGAGGACTATTTTTATGGATATACAACTTCTTTATTTTGTACAGGCGACGTTTCGACATAGATTCTAATGTCGCTGTCAAGCAAGCGCCCTATCTCAGTTTATGTGAACATGAGACGACAGATATCACTGATTATTGTTGACATTACAAAGAATTATTGTTATAAAAGCTGTTATAATAAGGTTTAACTATAAATGCGCATACCTGCTTGGTTTCCAGCTTTTCAATCACTTCTGGCTGAAGTACTCCCCATCCACATACTCCTACAGGAGTTATGTATTTGGAAGACATATTCTTGATGCATTCTCCCACCATGTGTGCAATCCCAAAATGTATGCCTTCGGTTGTAATCCAGATATCTATCACAGAAATGTTTGCCATGCACAAGATTGCCTGCGAAACATGAACCGAAATGTGAACTATGACTACGTACATGTTTGTATCTGTTACAAATCTTTACACACGTCAATCACTTATATTTTATAAAACATATCAAGTTGGAAATTATGTAATAATAACCCATCTGAATATAACTGTGTAAATGAATCTTACTTTGCCCATTGGATAATGCATTCATTAATCCATTCATTAATCCATTCAGCTGGCATTTCATTTGATCTTTATTCGTCGCAGTGTCAGCCTTTCCATCTTCGTCTCCTATGACGGAGAATATCCATTTTGGTTGGGGCAGTTTCCATATCTCCAGCAATAGGTGCTCAACGACCGACATATCAGTTTGGACATCGATACGAACATACTGTAAAACAAAAGGCATAGGACCCGTGAAGAAACAAACAAACGTTAATGCTCATAGATTTCCTTGGAATACACTACAGTAGTTTTACTGCTGATGAACTACACCATTGCAACTACAGTCGTCAAGTTCATATCCGCTATATTTAAGCATTGTTTCTCGTTTTGTTGTTGCATTTATCGTGTAGCGTGGTATCATGTTTTGGGTGGTGTCATGAGCAGATGCTGGAATAGATTCTTATCCTAGTATGTTTCATTGGTTGATTGCTAGTTCAACAGAAACACACACTTGACACTCCGGTTTATCGGAGTTTCCGATATAATTTTAAGGCATTCTTAAAATGTTGCGAGTTGTGTGTGATATATTAACTATTGTTTTACAGAAGGTATTCCGTTATTTCAAATGAATTTCGTAGACAACGTAATATGTATTTCACGGTCTGACGCACCCTTGAAGTCTTTCCATCACCGAAGTCTATCTTTCCGTAGTTCCTGCAAGGTTCCGTCTCTGTATTCCGTGATGTTGACCAGTCCTCATCTTTTCTAGACTCGGGGTCCGGATGTGCACACTCTTGACGCCAACATTTGCAACGATTTCGCTCCTTTCCTCTGCATAAACATAAGGTGATGCTTGTAATGTTAGGTATATACGTTAGTAACATGCAGTCATCGCAGAAACCCAGTAGAATATTGGTCTCTGTATTTCCTGGTGGGAGTGAAGAACTGACTATGTTATCAAGGTGACCACAATATGCTGAACGCCCAGTGGACACATAATGTTGACTGGTTATCCTTTTGCTTTGAAGTTACATAGATCATAGGAACCCCCTAGCAGTGCCAAAATCAAGGACATTCGGGATGTGTTAGACTTGATGTCATGATGAGTTACACACAGAAATCTTCCCAGATAAATTACTGCCACTTATCATATACAACTGTAGTGGCGTAACTATTGCAATGCTCTTGCATGAAATTTGAAGCAATTTTGTAGCGACAGATTCGCCATAGGTGGCTATGTGTTCTCGTCATATTGAGTTTTTTATGCGAAAAGTTTACTTGTTTTGTATATGTTTCTTGAAATGTGCTACCGGGTGTGACAATGTCCTCACGGGCCAGCGATACGTCACAGATCAGGCTTCTTCAATGGTAGAGTACATGGAGATGGACCATCTGCCCGTAGAGCTGAATATTGGTAGTAAATCCCCTAGCCCCAGCATACCAAATGACATTCAAAGGAGGTACTTGTTGCTACCTTTCCTTGCATCATGGGGGTAGAGCATGCACAGGTCAGTTTGGACCCATATGATGTGTATAAATGTCTGGTATCTCAGTTGGCGAGAACGGAAAGACATAGGCCCGGAGCCATACAAGTGTCAATGCATAAATGCAATCATCTAAAAAAACGATATTTCACCCCTACTTAAAAAGACACTTATTTGTGGCTTCAACCCAGTAGTCTGACGGGGCGGTGAGGTAGCCTAATGGTTAAAGCGTTGTCTCGTCACGCCGAAGACCCGGGTTCGAATCCCCACATGGGCACAATATGTGAAACCCATTTCTGGTGTCCCCCGCCGTGATGTTGCTGGAATACTGCTAAAAGCGGCGTAAAACCAAACTCAGTGAGTCCGTCAGTCAGTAGTCTGACACTGCCACCTAGAACTCATTAGCTGCCGAGAGACAATTTGCAGCAGTAGTATACGGGTAACTATGGGTCCAAACTGACCTAATTACGCAGGTGTGTGACCCAAATTCGCAGGCGTGTGACCTAATTAAGCAGAAGCAAAGACTATTCTAGAAGATATGACATCATATGATTTTAAGGAATTATGCGGTTTAATCCAGTTTTACATAAGACAATAAAAATTATGCTTCCCATCTCTTTCATCCAGCATTATGAACAGCACTCATATGAGTGTACTGGAGAAGAAACTTCTTAAAGACATACAAAATGTAGTGAATGTATTGGAAAAGTGGGGAATGTTGACTGAGTACAATAATGCCTATATTATGGAAAGTCTTTTTTTCAATGGTTTTCAATTGGTTATGTTAGTTAATGTCATTTGATATATATTTGTTTTTTGTAGGAAAGTCAACAAACTGGCATGCATCGCAACAGTGCCTTACTGATGACATTGCCAAAACGAGGCCCCCAGGTGTTTGATATGTTTTGTCTGGCTCTTCATGCTTGCAATGAACAAGAATCGCCATTGTCAACTGCTTCTGGGTGAACATGTATATGCAACGACCAAGTCTAGGAAACGGTATTTGTGTATTCCCATCAGGAAGTATGATGTGTACTCCAGCAGCAAATCTTATCCTACTCGACGAGGCATCATGCTCACCTTGAAACACTGGCTCGAACTCCCCAGTGTGTTCCAGCAAATATATGATGTTATGGCGTCTGGTCACTCAGGTTGTCATGTATATATGTGGGGCTAACATGTATGCCACCGACAGTGGGAAATGAATCTACAGATGGGAAAGGTTGTATCTACTGCAATGGGTATCTTCTTATCCATGCAGCAATGGGACAAATTAAAAGACTGTGTCTATGTTTTGCCTGACTTTGTTCCTGAGTTGAAGGACATGTTTCCCTGTATGTTACAAGAGGATCATCAGAACCAGACGGAGCTTTAATGTGTTCCTTCTGTAATCCTAATGATTATCTGAACTGGTGAAGCTCATGCTTGGATTAGACATTGAACTGTGCAAACGTGTTTCCGTTGCATTCCCTTACTTTGGACAAAACATGGATGTATGCGGACACTTACACCTGTATATGGATAGTACCCCTCCTCTGATTGAACCTCAAACAAGGTTCCAAGAAGGGTTGAATTCCTTTCAGTTTTGGCCTGTGCAGATGAAACATATTCATCACCACTCGCTCCTTTATTCCTTTATTTCCGTTACCTCCAAGAAGACTCATTCCCCTCTCGATGCAATGAGTCATTGTAATTCACAATAGACGTACAGTAGACTTTGGGACTGCTCCTATCCTAATCTCTAACGATTGAAATTGAGCTAATAAATATCATATGAAATCTGTATATCTTTCTTGTTTGTTTATCATACTATCATATCTATTGCTGGAGGACTGATATTAGACCAGATGACACAAATATTACCTGCTACGTAAAAGGGATATCCAATAAAAATAAGATTAGCTATAATTTGCCCCAATTTGTATTTAATATCTCAGTAAGTAGCAAATTCATATGAATGTGTTTTAGTATATATGCTTGTGCTGTGTTTTGTGACATTTCAGTGAAATACTTTTGAAAGCAATGTTAACAACCCAGTATGCTTCACCTTGAACTTCATTTTAGGAAAGTTTTAAATATATCATGGATTTTTTTTAATGAAACTTGGCACAACAACCGCACACATTTACTAAAATATAACAATGAAATAAATTTGGATCATAAAAGTGTAATCACTAGGAGATTCGATCTCAGTCCCTCGTCTATAAGAGAAATCTCGTCACAAACAGAAGTAAACAAAGCGAGCAAGAAAAGCCTTTAAAAAGGCAACGTTGGAGGCACCTGAGTAAATTAAGAAATTTGGTGAGAAGGACGTGTGGTGATTTGGGCGGTGAAGCTGATTTCAAGAGCATCGCGATGACCATACCTCTATGTATTAGAAACTTGCCTCTATTACAGATCGGTTTTCGAATCACAAATACCTTACTCTCATCTCCAGTATATGACATTTCATATCAAAGGTCTTTGTCATGTCTTTAACCATGTCTGGAAATGAAGTACAAGTGACAGACGGAGGAAACATGGTCCTATATAATGCC